ATTTATTTCTGCTTCTCTTCTATGATCAAGACTATACACACATAATTTTGCCTTCCATTCTTCCTAAGTTGTTTCATCCACTTGGAATACGTTCCCCAGTCATTTACATGAATCTACGTGGGTCTCAGTACACAGAATCTTCAGAGAGATTGTTGAATTTTTTTTGGTTCAGATTAAATTACATGCCCTCTGAGGGTTTCTCTCTTTCCAAAGGCCAGTCTTACATTAACCTTTTAGCCAATGCCCATTCAGTCCTGTGTTCTCCTCCTTTTCCTTTACTTACCCAATGTTATTAATCCTCTTAGTGTAAACATCATTCACTCACAGAAGCCTTTCCTGATCCCCATGATTAGATTGGATTTACTTGTTGTCAGTTCTAAAAGCATGTGCTCATTCTCCTTGGTGTTGCTCACTACATTTGTGATTTCCATTCACTCTCAGCCTTCTAGGATACACTTCAAAGACCATCAGTCCTGCTACCATAACTTTGTTCATTCTTACAGCATAACAAGTAGAGATTGGCATGCAGTAGGCACCGATTATAAATTCCTGAAACACTGTCTGAATAAACTATGCCATTTTGGGCTGAATAATATTTTAAAGAATAATTGATTTTACTTCTTCTGAGCATTTTTCTAATGAATTTAAACATATATTAAAGGTGGGGACTGTTTCTCTTGCATCCCTTTTAAGGGCCATCTGTAATGCTTCACATACACAAGGAGCTCCCAAATGATTTCAAACTAAATGAACTTAATAACAGCGCAGTCACACATTACATTCATTGGTAAGTGATAACTTGGATACCCATAGGCATATGGTTCTACTCAGGTGAATTTCTGTAACAATTTAAATGTAGTGAATTAACTGCTAGAGGTCCTAATAAAAAAAAAGGTTTCAAACATGAAAACAATAAAGACATGTTTAGAAAAAGTAATGAAGGTACCAAAATGGACATTAATTGTAAATATGGAATGAATGCTTGGAAAAATTAAAATATTGGGATATGTTTGCCAACTGGTCTTAATAACACAAGCACACTATGAAATACAAATTAATTTAAAGAGCAAGAGCAAGATTAAGATTTATAGATATTAATTTTGGAAAAAATATAGATGAAAGCAAAGCAAATTAAATTGTAAAAGGACAAAATAAGTTAATTAAGATCAATATGCACTAAGATAGCAGAGATAGTTTTGAAAATACCTATTGTTTAACAGAATAACATTAGTAATTATTATGCAAAGAAAACCCTTCAAAATATTATGCTCTCCTGGTAAAAGCACAAACGTTGAAAATAAATAGAAGAAAAGACTACTATGATTTTTACATTGATACACTGATACATTTTTAGGGCTTATGGATTCAATTTTCGTAACACATATATACAGGCTTTTTATAAACAGAGGCATGAAAATAAAAATATCTCAAAATAAAAAGTACTTTTGCTAAAACATTGTATACAGTATAAAAGGAAAATTTATTTGTCGCAGAGTATTCAAACAAAATTCAGTAAAAATCTATTAGCTTTTCTTGAATTTTATCTCAAAATAAGATAAAAATGAATGGTATAATGTAGCAAAATATCAAGTAATAGACTATGTACTTATAATCAGCCTCCACCTTGAAAAATACATATAAAAAATATATATACAAATACATAAACAGGTATGATTTACAATTTACTATCTTTTAATATTTCCTGTAGATATTTCAAAATTGACATGTGAATATTAATGACAAAGGAATTCAGTTGTACTCCATTTTGTTTCTCTCTATAGCATTGATTTGTCTTTAAACTGTCTTTAAATATCTTCCTGAAAAATGTGAGCACACAGCTAAAAACATATGCCTTATAATACACCAGTAAACAATGCTTGCAAGGTGTTCTTATAAACTCTTAGCCAATGGGGCTGCATATGACACCGCACACGCTCAGGCAATGAGTATCAGCACTTCATTCAGTACTGTGCTCTGCTATCCTGTCCTGAGTTGAATGTGTGCCTTGCATTTTGGTGGGACCTCTTTTTTTGCCACGTACTTCATAGTCTTGTCTGTAATTCTGAACAGTTATGGCTTACAGACGGTGTGCAAATAAACAGTCTTCAAGGAAACAAGAGTATTATAGTTGATGATAAAATGCATGTTTTCTATTCACTAAATATATTTGCTAAGAGGTAGCTAACTAGAATGGAACAAATTGAGAGGCAACTTGGAATTGTACCTTTGACATTGGTAAAGGCATCGTTCATCTTGCAGTGGTAGCTGAGGGAGATGGAACAATGCAGTGTGAATGGTGGCTGGCAGAACATGACCTGAGATATATCATAACTTCATAGAATTTGGGGAGAACAAGACAGCAATTGCAAATTTTATTTTATTTTATTTTTTTGTACCAGGGATCGAACTCGGGCCCTTGTGCTTGCAAGGCAGGCAGTGAACCACTGAGCCAAACCCCTGGCCCCAAATTTTAAATTTTAAGAAAGTATTTCCATAGGACACTTGCTAGATCCAATTTCAGTTAGCACCTCCAATTCCAGGGATACCTTTGTGAATAATAATATGTTTACCACAGGCTCCAAAATGTTATTGATGAATATCTTAGGGATAGAAAGGACCCATAGATAAGGTCAGATAGGGCTCCTCAAAAGTTCAGGAGAAAAACAACTTCTGCAGGGTTCCAAGACTGTAAAAAACAGGCAATCAGCTGTCTTGCTTTTGTAAAATTGTCCACAGTGTTGCAATATGTACCCAAGTTCCTCTATTAGCCCATGAAACCCACACCCCTAGCAACAAACCAACTAATCTCATGGGGTTGCTCCCAGAGGGCGGGGCCATTAGCCCCATGCCGAAAAACAGGAGCACTTCCCTATGCTTAGTCCTTATCTAGATCAAGGGCCCCTACTCTCAGAGTGGTATTATTGGCTTTGCACTATCTTTTGACTTCTCTTCCTCTTTCTATCTCTGAGAGGATAAGCCCAGGAAATTTATGGGTGGGATTGTAACCCAGATCCACCCAAGGACATGAGAATATTAATTCATAATAATTCTTAAGAGTTTGAAAATACAGAAGAAAACAGAGTAAGAAAGATTCAAGTCTAAATACTAAATACCAGTTTCAGAGCCAAATAATTTCTAAGAGACCCAAGACATAAAAAAGGACTGATTAAATGCATGAAAATTATTAAAGACAGGGACATTTTCATTTACAAATGGGAATAGGTATTAAAATAAGTTCTTTGTACTTCTAACTAAAATAATTCTCATTTATAGCTCATAATGCCACTTAAAAATAAAATAATGCTCCATGCTCATTTTTTCCCATTTAGCAGCCATGAAAAAAAAAACATATAATTTAAATCAAATGCTCAAATCCACCCAAAATTCAGAAAAACTCAATAAAATGTTAAAGATTTTGTTCACATTTAAATTGCAACTGTGTGCAAGGGATGAAAAGAAACTGAGGTAAAAAATGGTGATCTCTGTGACTACATGTTTGAGTAAAGCATATAGAATTGGTTTGGGAAAATTTCTTTCTTAAATATGTCAGCTTACGTGCAGCTCATATGACACTCCTTCAGTGCTATGGCACTGATATTCACCTCTACCTTCTCCACACTTCTTGTAGGACACTGAGTTTAACTCTCACTTTTCTTTCTAGGAAAGTCAGCTGGGCTGAGGATAAACAGATATTCCCCCTACGTCATCAAACTGGATATGGATATGCAACCCTACTTCACCTAACAATCTCCATAGATTTGCGACCATTTCAAGAATCCTGTTCCTCACTCCTTCTATTGAGTCTTGAGTATCCCACATAAATATTCTCCAATTAACATTGTTTTTTAATTTTTTTTATGGCCATAGTCCTTTTTCTTTTTTTTTTTTTTTCCTCCAGGAAAGCAAGAACCTTAACTAGTTTGGAAATTGATTCCAGGAGTGGATTAAATACTCTAGACCTCAGGGAAATGGGGAAGTCTGGGTAAGTGCCCAGCATAGGGCTACAAGCAGTGAAAATACAGCTGTATTAGTGATGAAAGATGACAGAAACGACAGACCATGGGAAGGAGTGGTGAAAGTTACCTTTCCTGTCATTACTTGGAATTTAATGCACAGATTGGTCAGACTTTGGGTATTAGCTTGCTGCTGCTAAGTTAACAGCTGAAGGAATTAGAATGGAAGTAGGATCAGCTGCTCTTAGCTACAGTGGGTGTCTTTGAAAAAGACGAGAACAAGCTTAAATAGAAAATTCTCAAGTCACAAACTTAATGCCCAGGGGCTTCTATTTGTTACTGGTACTATCTTTTGACTTACAGCTATAGAGAAAGGTGAGATACTCAATGACCAAATGAAAAGTTTGGTGTTGGGGTGCCAAAGTAGCATATTATTTAATAATCCCCTCGCCAGGTCTATGTGGTATTATGGTTTGTCTCTATTTGTCCCCCTAGAGCTTCATGGCTCTTGGGCCTGGCTTTGGAAGGTGACTGGACTGTGAGGGTGTTATAGCTGACTTTCTGTTAGGAGGCAGGGCTAGTTGGAAGAGACAACTGAGAGTGTGATCCAGAGGGTCTTTCTTCCTCCCTACCTCATTCCTTCCCTCTCCAATTCCTGGCTGCTACGAGGTGTCGACCATACCTTTCTGTATTGGAGTGGGGCAACTTGTGCCAAAATAAACTTCTCCTTTAAATTGTGGGTGTCAGGTATTTTGTCCTGGTGACTGGGTGTGAGAGAAAATTCAAGCATGGCTGAGCCAAGTGCGCCACATGCACATCTCCTACCAGAATAGGGGATACTCAGAAGTCTGAGCATGCTCACTCTCATGCATTGCGACTGGTTTAGAGCTGGCTGAAGGACATCCTGTTCCTCCTATCCACTGTCTCCATTGCTAGCCCAAAAGATCAACCAATCTTGTTATGCCCTGTATGCAGTGTCCCACCCCTTGTTCCTAGACTATATAAGAGCTTGCTCTGCCTATCAAAAATGGAAGCGTTGCAGAAACCTCGCTGGAGTCGGCTTGGTGGTTCTGCGCCTCACCCTCCCTATCTGAGCTTCAGAACCAGAGCACAAACAGACAAACAACAAGTGTTGCCCAAATTGGGGCTCCTGTATATCAGGAACATACTGAAGCGTCGGGTGAGTGATCCCCACGGGAGTATATGATGGGTAATCTTCTAAGTTATTATAAGCCAGGTCAGGTTACCCTCTTAAAAACGCGGTGTCCCACGAAAAGCCATTAGAATTTTGGGAATTTGTCCTTTTGACCTCCCCATGGATGGGGTCAGCGATGCGGATGACCCAGAGGACTGGGAGCCTGCGGTGTGTAATGCGCAGAGAGCCAAAAAGCACGGTGAGGTTCGCCTCCCCCTGGACTTCTTTCCCATAACCTCAGCAATAATTCAGTGTTTGGATCCCCATGCGACCAAAGCCTTAGAAGCATGTGTCTCGCAGGCTCCCTCTAATGACAAACAAAGGAAAGACTCACTTCAGGGACAAAGCAAAGACGGCGGCTCCTCCTCCCCAGGGCAAAATGGAAGTTGTTGTTCCTCACTTTCACTTTCTCCTTTGGATGTGGCCTCTGCCTCTGGGCGGAAGATGAAGATTCTGCCACCCCACCCAAACCCCCCCGCGTTTTCAGGAAGTACGTCATCTCACGGAGGCCGTCTCTTCCGGTCCATTATGGCGGCCCCCACCATGCGTGCGGCCATATTACCGATCTCATGATTCCTCCTCCTCCTGGTCAGATAGCGAGGAGCCACTATCCTCCAGTGATGATGATCCTTATTTGAATGATGCCTGCTTCCAAAACATGTTTAAAAAATCTGAAAAAAGGACCCCACTTCTCCGGGCCTATCCTGTCACTATGGGCGGCCCTGGGGTGACACCCTGGATCCCCCTTCTGTCAGGCAAATATGGGCCCTGTCCCTAACCTCCCTATTTTTGTTACAGTGGATTGGAATTCTGTTCTTCCCCGTGTGTTTGGCAATGATTCCACCTTTCATCCTTCCTTGATTGAGGGTGATTTTTCTCTTCTAGATTCAGCGGATGTAAGCGGCCCATAGTCTTCAGTCTGCCTTTCCTTGCTTTAGGTGCCAATGCTTTCTTCGATGCTAATATTTCCTTCTGTCTTACTAATACCTCTGCTTCGTTCCTCCCCAGCAGTACTGTTTTACCATTCACAGCCCGTCTTCTGTTGCCATTTTTCTTCATCATAAACAATTCCTCTCTCAAGCTCAATGATACTGTCTCTGTCTCCTCATGCGTCTATCCAGCAATGTTCGCTAATAAAACCTGGTACCTCTATTTTGGCTGCCCCCCCCGAACAATTTGGTTGCCCGTAAATCTTAAGGTGAATGGTGAGAATCTGGCCCCCTCTTCGTCCTAATGCTTCATCCATGACATCAGCAAGATCTAGGTGTAGCTGCCAATCGCTGCCATAGAAGTCTCCCTAACAGCCGCTTTAACTGCTTTCAGCCTCTGTTACCCTGTGTAACCAAATTATGATTGCTGCTGCTGTTGACCGACTTGCCTGTAATAGGTCCCTCACTCTGACAAAGTGCAGCCCTATTTCAAGATATACTAACTGCCGTTCTTAACCTGCAAACTCAGTTGGAGTTTGGGAAGAACTACAAATATTAGAAACTAAAGTTCTAAGCAGGTGCCATGCAAATTATACTGATGTGTGTGTCACCCCATATGTCTGTAAAGCTGTCACTCTCTCCTCCCCTTACGTGCTAGTATTATTTTATTTCATCCTCAAGATAAGCCAAAATGCTTCTGTCAGTATAAACAAATCCATGCTAATGTAGTACTTTTGGCTCAGGCAATGGAATAAAAAGAAAAAGGGGGAAATGTGAGTGAAATTGAAGCATGGCTGAGCCAAGTGCACCACAAGCACATCTCCTAGCAGGCTAGGGCTTACTCAGAAGTTTGAGCATACTCACTTTCATGCGTTGAGACTGCTTTAGAGCTGGCTAAAGGATCTCCCAGTTCTTCCTATCCGCTGCCTTCATCGCTCGCCCAAAAGATCAACCAATCATGTTATGCCCTGTATGCAGTGTCCCTCCCCTTGTTCCTTGACTATATAAGCGATTGCTCTGCCTATTAAAAATGGAAGCATTCCAGAAACCTCCCTAGAGTCTGCTTGTTGATTCTGTGCCTCACCCTCCCGATATGAGCTTCAGAACCAGAGTACAAACAGACCACAACAATTAGTAAAGTGACTAAGACGTGGAAAAGTCAAAATATTAAATGGACAGAGGGCAGGCTGAGAATTTAGCTTAGTGGTTCTGCCGCCTGTCTTGCAAGCACAGGGTCGTGAGTTCGATCCCTGGTACCAAAAATAAATAAATAAATAAATAGATAAATAGATAAATAAATAGATAGAGGGAGACCTTAAATATTAAGTTAGGGATACATAGAAGGATCTGAGGCTCTTGAAATAGTAAAGAATACTCAAATCTCTAAGCTTCCCTTGCCTGTTGATACATTCTAAATAATTCAGGTGGACTTCTGCTTTTTATCTAAGAGGTTGTTTCTCCCTTGTTTGAGTTACTTCTCTGAAGTCCTTAACTCTCCCTATTTTCATCTCAAATCAATATCTAGAGTTGGATTTCAGCACACTCAGTTATGATGTCAATCTTTGTATTAGGTTTAGATGACAGAATAAATATATGCACAAATTTAAATAAAATACCTAGGGAGGGAATATATGGGTCTAAATTATGAATCTGCTCAATCAAAGAGTGGAAAATACAGCCTTTAGCTCAGTCTAATTTTTAAAAACCAAAAACACAAGTCTTGTGCAGTTGTCTGAATTCCTTGAGAAGTCAAAGTGGTTTTAATTCTAGGTTGGTGAACAGGAAGCTGCATTGAAATATGATCATGATAAAGAAAGATAAGATACAATGAATTATTTGCCAAAAAACGTAGAAAAGGATTGCAAAAACAAGAATAAAAAACCTGTTGGGCCGGGGATTTAGCTCAGTGGTTCAGTGGCCTGCCTCACAAGTGCAAGGGCCTGAGTTAGATCCCCAGTACCCCCCCAAAAAAACCCCCCAAAAACCTGTCCCATCAACTTCCTAACTGTATTCCCTAAATAGACACAGAATACTATCCTTGTACTGGGGTCTTGAGAAACAATTCACCAAGGAAACTCTGGACATATGATTATGGCTTCTGTTGTAGATTGGGGATATTGCTGGGGGGCACTAATATTGAAATGGTCTGCCTAGTTCTAGTGCAGATGGGATAGATCTCATGGTACAGGAGGGCAGGTACACAAGCTAAGCCAGGCACTTAACCTCTAGAGGCTTGATATCTGCTTTTTCCCTAATAGGGACACATGGGTATTTTACATTAATTTATTGATCATGGAGTCTATAGATCTAAAATGTATGGACAATTCACAAAGTTCCTAATAAATTTACATAAATTTTTTAATGTCTGAAGATTAAGCTTGCCAAAAGGGAGACATACTCATTACAGTATTTTCAGGCCTTCAGAGTTCATTTTCTGGTGTAAATATATTCAGAGAAAAGAATATGTGTATATCTTTCATCGGTTTTTAGGTAATGGCTCTTAAATTACATATTCCTGGCAAAGAAGAATGGCACTGAGGTTCCCAGTGATTAGAAGCTCATGATGTTCAGGTGACAAGTATAGTCTTAACTTAAGTACATCTCATAGTAGGCATGGTGATACCCACACATCTTCTTTTCCCCTTTATTTCCTGAATGTTTTCTGGGACAGGATAATCTAGACAACACATTTATTTCTGGACTCATGAATATGAATTATTATCAGGTGAAGTAACAGGATGGAAATCCTACATCTCACCATCCTTAATAAAAGAAGACACCAAGGGTAATACCACACCATGAATGACTGAAAAGAGAGAGTGGTCATTTCCACCATAACTTCATTTAGCTCTCCAATTAGGCTGGTGGGGAAGACAGATGGGTATTGGAGAATGGGAGTGGATTATCATAAGCTTAATTAGGTAGTCCCTCCGAGCACAGCTGCCATTCCAGATGTTGTCTCCTTACTAACTCAAATCAACACAGCCCCTGGCAATCAGTCCAGGCTGTTGTGCAATTAGCTCTACCTGGAAGCCCATATGACCAAGCAAATTCAGTGAAGCTTGAGTAGTTTGTGGCAGATTGGGATGTTTTATGAAGTCCCATTAGTAAATTCACAGTCAAGACTCCCGATATTTTAAAAAATAAAAGGTGTGATTTCTTCAGTAACTATTCCTCTTTTGAAAAACAACTCATTATTACTGAAACATGGTAGAGACTAGATCCCTGATGTTGTGACTTGGTTACCCATTCTGAACCAGCCTTGTAACCATTCACTGAAGAGTAAAGCCCAGCACACAGAGTAGTACTCTATCAAATGGAATATACATAAAGTAACTAACCAAGCTAATATTGAGTATGTACATTAAATTAAAAAAGGACACTCATTCTCCCCATATTTGTTTTCCTGCTTTACAGTACTGCTCTCTCTCAACATCATAGGTGTGGCCTTATGAAGGAGTCCACTGACTATTTAGGAGAATGAGAAGTCAAATAGGTATATAGATAAATGGGAAGATATATAGGTGGGTAAGTAAATAGATAGATAGCTTGGTTTACAAGTGCTTCTTGCTGATTTCCTGGGGCCATCATGAGGGCAGTTATATAGTTTTATTGCACCGCTCAACACAGTGTTGGACCTCAGAAGAAGCACACCTTGTTGCATAATTTTTGGAAGATAGCATGAATTGCATCAAGTAGTAACAAAACACTGGGTAATGGATATAGTGTGAGATATGATTTGGAAGTAACAAAACTATTTTGGTTGAAATTTAGTAAGTAAACTTCTTCCTGGAATGCAGCCAAAATAGAAAAATATTAATGTACAATTTAAATGGTTCTCAAAATTCTCTTTGAGGTGAGGACAAATGATGACCCATTCTCTGGAGGTAATTCAGCCCTTTCTTTTATTTCCTCAGTGCTAGCTTAATGGTCTAATGAATGAATTAGCAATAGTGATAATGCCTAAGCCTACTGTAGTGGGTTGAATGGTGACACCCAAATACATGTCCATTTCCTAATATTCAGAACTAGTGACTGTGACTTTATTTAGAAAGG